CGTATGTGATCGAGTGATCACCCAGTTGCGTGCTGCAACCGATTGCCCCGTTTGTCCGCTGGTCCTGCGAGATTTTGTTAAGTTCAAACACAATGGGAGTCCATTAAACCTTCCCTACTTAAACAGAGAAGTCTCCCATATTTGTATCTCACAAGATTATCATTAATAAAACCACTGTTCTATTTGCAAACTTTTCCGCGAAGACTTTGCTAAATACCTAACCTATTCCGAGGCAACTCCTCATTTAGATGAAGCAGCTTCTGTCGTCTGCATTTCCCAGGACTATTTCGACCTCTAGACAGTGATGGGAACTGGCAAGAATTTCCCCATGCTAGGGACTCTCGTGCGCATGCATAAAGTGACGTAGGCAGCTCGATCCAATGACGAATTTAAAGCGCAAAATGGGTGCGCACAAGGGAGGAAGGTTGATTAGTTAATAAAACTTCCTTTTTTTCCTACATCTTCCTTTACATCTTTTTCAGGTACCCCAGGTACCTCATAGTACCATAAAATATATGCGTTAGTGAGCCTGCGCAGCGTTGGCTCAATGCGCATGCGCGAGATAATTCTTGCCAGCTCCCATCACTGCCTCTAGAAGTCACTTCCCCTAGCGAATAATTCCCTAACTCCCAACTTCCAGAGTCAAATATTCCTAAATCTATTTGTCCGCGTTCTGACACTTTTGTCCAACAATCCCGCCCACCGCAGGACGCGACAACCTAGGCTTGCCAACTGTGAAGAATTAAATGTTTGATGCTGCTAAGATACTACGACTGATTTGAATGCGTCTTTGTCACACCCTACTATATATACATTGTGTCCTTTTCTCTGTTACGTCCGGCATGCATAAAACCAAAATATTTTATGTATTTATCAATTTCACTTCGTTATCAGATTAGTGGCACGCCGTTCTTGACTGCTCGAGTGCCAGCGAACCACAGGGGCGCGCGCTCGAGCCATTCAAGATGCGCGTGACCGCTGACAAACAAGTTCCTTTATTCTCAATTAGTAGCTATTAATTCAGACTTACAATTCCAATTATTCTTATTCTTATTAACTACGATGTTCAAATAATAACTATTGTTAAGATTCCGCGAAGTGTTTGTGCGAAATAAATTTTCAGAGACGAGCGACGAAAATATCCTCTCTACCATCGAAATCAGGGGTATAAATTGAGACGATTTCGGAGCCCGGTTGTCATTCGATTTTCGAAAGCTAGATCATTCTATATAGGAATTTCGATAATTGTCCTGTGCCAAAAGGGCCAGAGTTAAAAACGGGTAAACTTTACTCTTCATCTAGATAAGGCTTTCGAAAGTCGGGTCTCGCTAAGCCGTGTGTGTTGCAGGGTGCTTTCAACGTTGCGGTCTCCGAGAGTGCGAATCGGCGAGAATTGTTGTACGCCGACCAATAAAAAGTGAAATATATTTCTTCTCTTTTTCATTTCTTTCCTTTTTTCATATAACAAGTGTATTCGCGATACCGGCGCGCGTGTGTGTGTTCGGATTGCATTAGTTAGTTTTCTACTATACCTTATCTGAGGTGCGCGCTCGGTAGAGTCGAGCAACTCCCATTCACCATCACTATACCTTATCTGGGGTGCGCGCTCGACAGCGTCGAGCGACTCCCACTCTCCATTACTGTACCGTCTTTGGGATGCGCGCTCGGTAGCGTCGAGCGACTCCCACCTCCATTACTGTACCGTCTTTGAGGTGCGCGCTCGGTTAAGTCGAGCGACTCCCATTCACCACTACTATACCTTATCTGGGGTGCGCGCTAGGTTACGTCGAGCGACTCCCATTTCCCCTTGCTATTCCTTTTTTGGGGTGCGCGCTCGGTAGAGTCGAGCGACTCGCACTTCTCCTTGAAAGGGAACGGTCGAACCAATTTTCCCAGATTCGGTTTCTCCTCTATCAACAATCGTTCGTACACATACACACACACCGCATTGTCAGTCGCATATACACTCTAAGGTTTCGCGTCTCAAAACACTAAAACGCCTACTACTACTATAACGCGCCGATATTCAACATGAAGGCAATCATATTAATCACGGGCTTCCCAATAGGACGCGGAAAATAGGCCATCGGGGAAAAAGAGCGGGTCGAGCATCCCAATTAAGGAAGTTCGCGAAAGAGCTTTTCAAGCCCCGCCAGTTCGACCCGCTGGTGTTTAATATCATCCCCTCCACTTCGTCCAGACCACCAGGCAAGAAGCCGACTATTCGCGCGGACGTAATATTTCCCCTGGAGCGCCGGTTAGCCTGGACCTCGAAGAGCGCGCTTCCGACGAAGATCCGAGTGGCCCATCCTCGTCGACCGGTTGATAACCAACCCCTCGTCGAATCGCGCCCCAAGAGATCCGCGCCGCGATCCGTCGCAGTGGTTACCCCGAGCCCTCAGGCCCCATTGCGGAAGCAAACCAGGCCCGCCCCTCTGGGGGTGTACGCGCGCCGCCCAAGGCCATCCGCGACCGACCCTGTAGAAGTTGTAGACTTAACATAATAAGAAGAAAAAAATGATAATTCACGAAAGTCTCGCTGTTTCTTTCTCTCTTTCTCTCTCTCATGAACCACCCTTCGGCCTCTTTCAGATGCCGGCCTCATGTGTCGCACGATAAGGAGGCGCCGGGCGAGGTTGCATCCTGCCATTGCCCTGTCGAGTTGGATAGATCAGGCCGCGTGCCTGACTATCTACGGATACGTCGAATCTGGGGCAACGAGGCTGTGCGTGAAGTGTCGAACAGAACAGGGGAAGGACGCATCGCGGTTCGCCGTACGCCACTCGTGCTCGATGGACTACACAGTCTACAAGTCGAGGGCTACGTGCGCTTCCTGCAGGACACGACTATTTGTGCACCGTCAGGCCGCCGATTGTGACCTTTGTCGGGGTATCCTAACGGACTTTAAGGACTTCGTCGAGACCACCCACGGGTGCTCTCGCGGAGACGTGCCTCCCGGCACTCTCCTTCCGGTGGACCCTTGCCGCGGGCCACCTAATGTAGTATTGTCGAGACGCTTAGCCGCCTTCTCTTGCGGCTTATCAGCGACCCGATTGGAGGCCGCTTGACTAAATCGTTCGGCCCCCTCGGACAAACAAGCTACACCCGGACGTAACAACTGCGGTGTAATAATATTTTTCCTACCGTCGAAAATAACTTGTAAGAGTGATCAGGATAGAACGAAAACGTGTGCGAAGCATCAAAGTCTCTAGTTGCAGTAGAGAAATATTTTTTACTGTTGAAACTAAATTGTAAGAACAGCTATGACAAGACTAAATAAAGAGCAAGGCTTCGAAATCTCCAGTCACAGTATAAAAATATTTTTCCTACTGTTGAAACTAAATTGTAAGAACGATCGAGACAAAACAATACCGAGTTCGAGGAACTCTCCAGTCGCGGTGTAGAGGTATTTTTCTTAACGTTGAAACTAAATTGTAATAACAATTGCGACAGAACTAAACCGAGTGCGAAGCTTCGAAGTCTCCAATCGCGGTGTAGAAATATTTTTCCTACCGTTGAAACTAAATTGTAAAAACGGTGAGGACCGAACGAAACCCGGATCAAAACTTCAAAATCTCCAGTTGCGGTGTACAAATACTTTTCTTACCGTTGAAACTAAATTGTAAAAAGAATTGGAATAGAACGAAACCAAGCGTGAGACTTCGAAGTCTCTAGATGCCGTCTAGAAATATTATTCCTACAATTGACAGTAAATTGTAAGAGTAATCAGAAAAGAACGAAGCCAAGTGCAAAACTTAGAACTTTCTCGTTATTGTGTATAAATATTTTTTCCTACCGCTGAAAGTAAATTGTAAGAGTGGTCAGGGTAAAACGAAACCGAGCGCGAGACTTCGAAATCTTCAGTCGCAGTATAGAAATATTTTTCTTATCGTTCAAAGTACTTTTAACAACGATCGGATAGAACGAAACCGGGTGAGAGGCTTCTAAGTTCCCAGTCGCAGTGTAGAAATATTTTTTCTACCATTGAACGTAAATTGTAAAAGTCATCAGAACAGAATGAAGTCAAGTGCGAGACTTCGAACTCTCCAGTCACTGTGTACATATATTTTTCCTACCGTTGAAGATAAATTGTAAAAGTGATCAGGGCAGAACGATACCGAGCGTGAAACTTCGAAGTCTCCAGTCGCGGTGTAGAAATATTTTTTTCCTACCGTTGAAGGTAAATTGCAAGAATGGTCAACAGAGAACGAAACCGAGGGCGAGGCTTCGAAGTCTCAAATCGCGATATAGAAATATTTTTTCCTACCGTCGAAGGTAATTTGTAAGAATGGTCGAAACAGAACGAAACCGAGCGCGAGGCTTTGAAATCTTCAGTCGCGGTATAGAAATATTTTTCTTATCGTTCAAAGTACTTTTAACAACGGTCGGATAGAACGAAACCGGGTGAGAGGCTTCTAAGTTCCCAGTCGCAGTGTAGAAATATTTTTCTGATCGTTGGAAGTACCTTGAACAACGGTCGGATAGAGCGAAACGGAGCGCGAGGCTTTGAAGTCTCCAGTCGCGATGTAGAAATATTTATTTTCTACCGTCGAAAGTAAATATTGTAATAGCGGTGTCAGAACACAACGAAACCGAACGCGAGGTTTCGAAGTCTCCAGTCGCGGTGTAGAAATATTTCTTTCCTAACGTTGAAAGTAAATTGTAACAGTGATCGGGACAGAACAAAACCGAGCGCGAGGCTTCGAAGTCCGCAGTCGCGGTGTAGAATTATTTCTTTCATACCGTGGAAAGTAAATTGTTACAGTGGTCGGGACAGAACAAAACCGAGCGCGAGACTTTGAAGTCCCGATTCGCGGTGTATAAATATTTTTTTCCCTATCGTTGAAAGTAAATTGTAATAATTGCCAGGACAGAACGAAACCGAGCGCGAGACTTCGAAGTCTTTATTCGTGGTAGAGAAATATTTTTCTCATCGTTGGAGGTACCTTTAACAACGATCGAATAGAGCGAAACCGAGCGCGAGACTTCGAAGTCCGCAGTCGCGGTGTAGAATTATTTCTTTCATACCGTCGAAAGTAAATTGTAAGAGTAGTCGGAACAGAACGAAACCGAGCGCGAGGCTTTGAAGTCCCCATTCGCGGTGCATAAATATTTTTTTCCCTACCGTTAAAAGTAAATTGTAACAATTGTCAGTACAGAACGAAACCGAGCGCGAGGCTTCGAAGTCTTTATTCGTGGTATAGGAATATTTTTTCTCATCCCCAGATAACCAAGCGTGCAATACTCACACAACATACCACTATTGTAATGGTACTATACTGCCACGAGATGGCGGTGTATGGCGTAACTGTGTGGCGTCGCGATCGCGCTGGTTGGCGCGTCGGTCGTCGCCTTCCGTTCTCCCGCTCTCTCTTTGGGTAACCAGCGGACCGACAAGATCTGCGAGCGTGAATATCCCGAAAAGTAGGCCTGTAGCCGTAAGCTAACGAATTGTCCTAGTCTAATCGATCTCATCGTATTAAGGTGTACACCGCGTCGAATCGCGTTTCCGTGGAATAATGTTCCGTCCGTGTAATTTAGAGATTTGATGAAATCGTTACCGACTACTTTCACGACATTTGTTCAAGTACGCGCGAGCACGTATGGGGAGCATCGCCAAGCATGTATTTCGCGAGCTGTATTGCGTCTTATCCAATAAAGCTCCTATTTA